TATGTGTATAATGAGATGGAATCCTTTTCATTGGTTTAAAGAAATTCTTTTCTATGTATGTTTATTTTTTCTTCTAGTAATATTAACTAAGATTTGTTTGAAGGTGAATAAGAGAACTGCTCGGAAGACAGTTGTAAAGCTTGATAAACGAATGTTTTACAGGAACCATAAACAGGCATAGGAAACGCAGAAGACAATCTGCGAGTCGTGCATGAGACGCAGAGCGGAATGAGGTTTTGCACTATGCAAGTTGTGAGCTATGCTTGAGCTTTCATGTATGTAACTTTTTCTGGTATGGTACATTAAAATGTTATAATGGGGACACGCTATCTTTGTTGCTCCACTTGGTGAATACTTGGGCACCAAGGGATTGTGGTCTACATACGAAGATACAGGACAAGATACCTCGAGTCCCATCAATCATCGAGTTTTTATGTCATGTATGGACTCATCAATGGTACATGACGGTACATCGAATAGAAGTGTCCGATGGCGAGAGATACCTGGAACATAATAAGTTTTTGATGGGAATCTTCATGGAATGTATGAGAACGTCACATAGAGAACAGAATGTACGAGGATGGCCATTGGCATGGTATATCAATAGTGTCCTTCTTTTCAAGCAGGTTGATGACACCATATCCTCGCCAGTGTCTTTGTGTCAACCAGGAGCACTGTGTAATAGAGCACCATTCAACACACTAGATTTGCAAATGCTTTGCTGGAGACAAATTATTCTTCCTTATTTTGTACACATGTGGAAATATACGCTTAGACACGTGGCCTTACCAAAACTATATCAAGAATATGTAGGAAGTAATTTTCCTGATTTACTATCTATCGATTTACTTTGATGTGTGAACCTTACTATTGATTGGAACATTATGAAATCAGTAAAATAATAGCCATGTCTGTTGAGAATAGTTATTGGTCCTGCAAAAAAAGTTGCGGTAGAATAATAATGTCCGAATAATAAGTGAGCTGATCTTGTGGTACCCAGTGACGGGCAACTTCCACACTTGTACTGCAACCTAAGACAGGGGAAGGGGCCTCCCCAAAAACGGGTAAGTAGTACAATGGCAGTGGACGACCTAAGACAGGGGCTGCTTGATTCCCCTTTGCATGCAACCAATATAAAAAAGAGGAAACTTGAACACAAGTCTCCCCTAAGGGTAATACTTATCCCTGGCCCCGGGGGCCCGATTTAGCCCCAATTTATTGTTTTGCATGAACAAAGTGGACAGCTCATTCGGACATGACGCGGAATTTTTCTTTTCGAGTTCCACGCCTAAGAGACATGTGCCTCACAATGTGCATGGGCCTTTCTTTTCCCAACAATGACGGACGTGTTAACTGAAACAAATGTTTTAATTCTTTAATTTGTGCCATATTTACTTGTTGATAGGTGTTTTTACAACAACGTGTCTATGGATCGGATAGTACTAGAAAGAATCTTGGGTCGCCGAAAGAAAAACCAACTATGGAGATATGCTTGGAATTTGACAGAAACAACCCCGAGTGCTCCGGTACCACTGATTCCACTGTACGAAGAGACAGAAATAACGGGACCCTTGAGAGTATGCCACGGAGCAGTAATACTTTTGAAGAACATAAATAATGGACAGTTGCGACACAAGTTGGAAAATTATCCTAGCATTGTACCTTACCCTGTGTGCTGTGAAATTTGGAATTCTTTAGTTCAATATCTCCCGATGTGTATGGTAGGATTTTGCACCTCTACAGGATGCAATCATTGTATGTTACAGTGA